ATATCGCTCGCACGAGCGTATAGTAATTACGGTCCCTTTTTTAATTCCATCGAGATCGCTTGTGATTTGTCAAATTTACGCCTGGAAAAACTGCTATTAAAGTTCGTTCAAAAAATACGTGTAAAATGAATTAAAAGTGTCATAGCTGCCGGCTGAGGCGAAACCAGCGTTGCCAACTGGTATATTTCTATACCAGATTTTACAAATTTGGAATTTTCAAACGGTGCCTGAGATGAATATTTTAGATCTGGTATATTTGCCTAAATCTTTTTTTTCTGATTTACTGCATTAAGTTCTACCTCTGAAGTTTGAACTTCCCCCAGCGTAGGCGCGGATTATATGGATTACCTTCGGAGCGCCACAAACAGAGCTTTCTCGCCATTTTTTTTGGAGCCGCTAGATTACCGCTTTATAAAATAACTCCAATCTTATTGTTAACATTTAAAAACTGTGCTTAGTGCAGTAAGAGCACGAAAATAATGATTCGTGATTGATTACTGATCAGTGTGATGATATGGCCTTTGACGATTGAAGCTGTCGAAAAGATTTCTGCGACGCAAGCTCCTCCATTTTTGTTTGGTAGTTTTTAATTCTGGAGGGCCATTCAAGATTTAACTGATCTTGAAAGTCACAATTTATTCAAGGAACTGGCTGACTACTGCATAACTTGTCTACTTTTACCAGTCTCCAATGCATTCGGGAGAGAGTGTTTTCACAAGTCACCTATGAGAAAAACGAGCATCGAAACACCGGTCGGAGCTGGTATAGGGCAGGTTCGGGGCCGGGCTGGCCCACGCTGTAACCCACGCTAACGCCCACGCGCTTTTGTCCGACTGGTCATCGAAACAGAATTTCCAGAAGTTACTGGAGTCCGTTATTCAAACAAAAAGCTGTCTGATCAGCCGCTACAAGTGTAGCCGAAATTTTGTGATCACACCCAAAATCTTAGATAGATGCAATACAAGCATGTAAGAAAATAAGGAAGAGGAAGATGACCAGTTTCCGTAGCTTGCTCATCTGGAGTGATGGGAAGAAGTGTCACACTGTAAAAAAAAGTGTCAGAATGTTCAAACAGGGAAAAAATATAACGTGGATCAATATGGCCAATTATTCTTCATGCATTACACTCTTTAATTGAAATCCAGATAAATCCAGTAAAAAAGATAAAAAATGACTTATATTTTTAACCAAAGTTTCTGCATAATAGTTTCATAAAATTTTGAGTTATTTTTGTCAGTTTTTGAACAATGGAATTTCTGGTATAATTCTAGTATTTTGAGCCAGGCAATCTGGTATTCTCGCCGAGAAAAAAGTTGGCAACACTGGGCGAAACGTGATTTGTTTGAAACCAAATTAGGCGGCAGAAGCCTCCATCGACCATAGGCAACTTGAGATCAGTTGGAGCAAGGTTTGTTCGTTCATGGTGACAAGACGTGTGGTGCTATCGCTGAACAACCAAAGTTCTCGGTGTGAAATCTGAAACCCAGTGCAAATCTATAAATACTAGTGCTTACCGAATAAGTGTGAAGAACAATCAAAGGTGAAAGGTATCAATAGGTATGGCTGAATCATCGTCAGGCCCCAGCCTGACAGAAGAGCTCTTCTCTGNGGATAAAGCCGCCAAGCATGCAGCCACGTCTGCAGACCAAACAGCACAAGTCCCTTTTGACTTCTCCGAGCTGAAGTCAGTGGTACATCGTAACATCTGGAAATTTTGGCAAGCGAAGTGGACATCAATCCGAGGACAGTTTGCTCTGGGAATGATCAAGCCATCAGTTCACCCATGGGCTCATCACATGCTGCAGACTCGCAGATTCGAGACCCTCTTTGCCCGACTACGACTCGGCACTGCTCCACTAAACAAGTCTCTCTTCCAGATTCGCCAAGCCCCATCACCACTCTGCCCTTCGTGCCAAGTGCCAGAAACAGCACATCACTATCTCATAGTCTGCACAGAGTACGCTGAAGCCCGCTCCCAACTGCGACGTCAGATAAACTCCCAGGGGATACTTGTACTCAGTCTTGGAACCCTACTGGGAGGAGATACCACCAGCAGCCCTACCTGGCCCCAGACCTGCAGAGCCGTGGAAAACTTCATCAGTTCAACTCACCGCTTTGACCCCTAATCGTTGACAAACTGCTGCTTCCGGAGTGAATCGTCCAACGCGCAGCACTCCGTTAACCTACCGAAGAACAGAACAGAACAGAACGGCAACTTGAGATGTCTAGAAGCCAGTTGCGTACTGCGTTCATGAATGCATGTGCGTAAATCAAGTTCTCTAGACACCTGCGAATTTTGATACATTAATTTTATATTTATTTATTATCGACGAAATTCTTCATAAATCCAACTGGCTTTCTCCCTCAGAGGTTTTCCAGCCCTCTTTGAATTTGATTGATCATCGGGTTGTTTCTTTAATTTCCCCTCCTTTTTTCAAAGTATTTGATATCACAAGGAGTTGACGTCTGTCTCAGTGTCTGGCATCAGTGGCATGGGAGGTCCGGAGGTCGAAGTACTAGCTGCCTTACTGGGATCTGGGTTTGGTACCCCAAAGTCCCCAAACGGCCAAACCCATCAGGCCCAGCATCCTCTACGCCTACGGTACCGGTAGGACTACTAGTCTACAGTCTACTAGTACTGGAATTGGGGCGAGGTGACTGGAAAGGACCATGAAAAAATACTGAAGGAAAAAGGGAGCTTGTGCCATGGCCTGGCCTCCTAGGGCCCTGACCTAGGCAGCCAGATAGAAGCAACATTAAAAAAGACTTGGAGCTTTTAACATTGACATTGAGAAAATTCAAATTATCTCTCTTATCGTTATCATATATACATGCTAACTTGCTGAATAAATTATAATTTGGCTAGGTATATTTATTGATCGAAAATGATCAACCCACTTGATCCGATCATATATATAGTTTACAAAGGTCTATTCCCTCCATTGACATTGATTGCTAATGTAAAGAACTAGACATGCGTTAATGCTACTAATTCATCATATAAGTTGTTTCCCCATATTCTCATGCTTTTTTACAAGTGAAATTCACTACCTCGCCAAAACTTGCCATACTTAGTGAATTCCCCTATTACTAGTATGTAACAATGTCTATCTGTGAAAGTTTTTGAGGAGTTACAGCCAAAAGAGAAAATTAATAGCAAATTTAATTACTGAGCCACAAATCCCATAATTTTATTTGTATACAATAAGAAGCTCAATCTCAATACAACTTCAATAAAATGATACCAATAACAAGTGTCAGTACCTCTAGAAATGCCATGCATTTGTTGAGTTTCTTTCACACTAGCTCCTGCCATATTGGTAGGTATGAACAATTTGGCCTCTTTGAAAGTCAGAGAGGTTTGCCATTTATAGGTTATAGGTTAGGCTATAGACACAAAAATTTACTAAAAAGTATCTGTGTAAGGATAAAAGATCAATTACCAGCAACAATAAAACATTAAAATATCATATTTTCATTGTTTATAACATGTTCAAAAATTGCAATCTCAAAATGTCTTGCATTTCCCTTATTTTGTCCAAACCCTGTTTCCTGTAGCTATATAGTCTTAGATAGGTATATAAATTTGTTGCAAATTAAAAAAAAAAAAAACTTTTACTTCTGCAGAGACCGGTACTTTTATTTCTTTATCACGTCAGAGAGATCATTATACTTTTTTTCTACATTTCTGTGTTATATTTTTTTAGGTACTTAGATTCAAGCAATATAGGTACCTTGACCACCTCCTACTTGCTTATATTCCTCTAATATTCATATCTGCTCTCAATTGCAACCGCAGTTACTGCTGCTATTTGTCTAAGCCAATTTATGGTCTTTGCTTGCTCTTTTTAATAGCTCTGAAAATTTTTGTTCAACCATGAGTCGTTCCATGCAAGGCCCAAGAAACAAAGGTGGTCGTGTCCAAAGAAATAAAGGCCTACCAGTTGCTGCCAAGAAAATGCTGGTGGAGAAAGCTAATAAAATAGTAAGTTTTCTGTATGAGATAAATGAGCACTGAAATAGAATTTGTGGTATATATATTTTCTGTAATTTGGAGTGGCAAATTGATCAAACTGGCAGAAATAGCTAAACTAAATCTTCAATCATTCTTTTCAGGCAGTCACGAGACACGAGGTACCGTAAAATGGGGTAACTTAGACCACTTTTCGTTTTTTTTACAAAAACCCCCACAACTCAAAAACTATTTGACATAGAAAAATTTTGTCAATGGGCATTAAAGGCCTAATACTGAGGCTACATAACACAATTAAAGGTGGTCGTGTCCAAAGAAATAAAGGCCTACCAGTTGCTGCCAAGAAAATGCTGGTGGAGAAAGCTAATAAAATAGTAAGTTTTCTGTATGAAATAAATGAACACTCAAATAGAAATTGTGGTATATATATATTCTGTAATTTAGAGCGGCAAATTGATCAAATTGGCAGAAGTACAGTAGCTAAACTAAACCTTCAATCATTCTATTCAGGCAGTCACTAGATACTTGCCTTGACCTATGGTTTTTTTGCTGTCAGGGATTTTTATTGTTGTTAAGCTTAAATTTTCACTTGCTAATTCTTAATAATATCCTTCACACCTTTCAGACAGACATTCTGGGTCTCTGCAAGGGTCTTGCCGTGGTGCACAACATAGGAGATGTCCAATACATTGTTGAGCACTCCACATCTCTCACTGCTGATCCTGACACCAAGAACTGGCTACTGGAGCTAACAAGAGAAAACATGAAAGATTTGTTAGTTACTCATTGTTTAAATTAAGCTGTTAAATTATTGGCTATGTTGCAGTATGCATTGGATGAGCTTTTCATTTGAGCTAAATCAGAATTGGACATTCCATCAATCATTTGGAGAATCACACCATAGCATCTCCCCTTTAGTGAAGAGATATTTTATCTATGAAATTTGATGCATCTAAGTTCTTTCTATTATCAGTGTTTTTTTTTTAATTGTTCATACTAATCTATGTAGTACCAGTATGAAATTTTAAATTATGAATGAATGTAATGAAAAATGAGTTATATAAATTAAATCAGTTGCTTCCAAAATTTGGTCTTTGATGAAATAATGGAAGGCTGAAAATATATGATGTTCATTTCAGAAATACTAATTGTAACCTTCTTTTAAACAGGTACATTAGCTCAGGCTGGGGCTGGGAGGACTCTGAGAAAAGTGATGAGTTGTGGCACAAGGCTGCTCAGTATCTTATTGTGCGTGAGAAGAATTCCAGGGAGCTTGTTGGCTTCACGCACTTCAGATTTGATATGGACTATGGCTGCCACGTTCTTTACTGGTGTGTGACTTATATATATATATATATGAATTATATATACAATTTTCATTGTTTACTCACTTTACTGACTGGTGTCTCCTCCATTTCATTTTTCGCTGTTAACACTACCATACATGCATGTGAGTTAGTAGTCAAAGATAAAGAATATATGATTATGATATAAAGATAAAGATATAATCAAAGAATGAGTATATTCATTTGAATTAATTCAAAAATTTGTGTTTTGAATTAAAATCTAAGTAACATTATGGAAGCAAGGGGAATTTTATTCACTATGGTGATACAAATTCAGTATTTTAATACACTCATTTATTTGTTTGACTTCTGTTTATGAATTGTTGGTTGTGTATATTTTCAACTTGATGTTGTATTTGTAATTTCTTGATGCAGTTACGAGCTGCAAGTGACATCAAGTTTGCAGAGCGGAGGTCTAGGTGCTCTGCTGATGAAGCTACTGCACAGGATAGCCTTTGCAGCCAACATGAGCAAAGTTGTGCTCACTGTCGGAAGGAACAACAAGAGGGCTCTCAAGTTCTACTTCGAACTCGGGTCAGGACGAGAGTGATATTACGAGTCCTTTGTGCACGCAATAAAGCTCCCTGTGATTGGTCAAGATCCGGAGCTTTATCTTAAAAATTTTTTTGCTTGAGTTTGCTAAGAATTATAGTGTTCAAAAATTTTGTGCTGTACCTTGGAGAGTGTTATTATTATCATTAGCAGTTGTTTAGATAGAACTACAACAATTATTTTCCTCTAAAATGCAATAACTTGCAGTAATAACTTGATTTTTGCCTAAAATGAGATTTTTATGTGAAAGCCAGGTATCTAGGTAATGGAAGATTGTATCAGGAAGCTTTACATATAGGGGTTTCAGGAAACTTTACATTTTGAGGTTTATTACTTGACACTTTGATTTTTTCTCCTATGAAGTTCGGAAACTATGTTTTTCATCCTGTGAGGTCTTGTGTCAACTGAAGTGCCAGTTGATCAATCAATGTTCATGTTTCAACAATATCGGCCATAGTATTGAGGTCACTCTTGCTGCAAACATTTTTTGTTGTGATTAATTGTGACATGATTGGACAAGCTTAACGTTTTGACAAGGTTTTTCTAATTGTAAATTATTTTTGAGTGATTGTTTTTATTATTTTCCACGAAAAACCGTACATAAATTGTGTAAAAATAATTTTCACCTGTAGGCCACTCATAGTTTGGGTGCTATTTTTTTTACCGTGTACACTCGACCGGTTTTACAAAAATTGCAAAATTATTCAAGCGCCATTCATGCTTATGCTTGAATTTAACGCATATTAATGGGATGTGTATTTGGTAGTCTGCTTCCCAAATGATGTGATTAGTCACGTCGCATTATGCACGTGTAAGACATTTCCATATTGCATTCTTATTTTTGTATTTTAAATTTCAGGTATCGAGTGGACGAGACTTCGCTGTGCTCGCTCACTGACCCGCAAGTTCCTAGCGAGGAGGACGCTGGAGAACCACCAGTCAAGTCCGACACCTACCTCATTCTCAGTTTGGCGTGCAGAGAAAATAAAGAAAATGAAGGCAAAGATAAACGTAAACAAAACAGATAGGAAATCTCAGCTGCTTTCTTTTGCCATAGTATTCTCGAATATAATTATTTTATTTTATATGTAAGTAGAAAATTTGAATCAGTTTGATCTGCATCTCACTTATTCTTAATTAAATGCAGAGAGCAGAAAAAAGAATGGCAGGAAACAATAGTATATATCTAGATGATAAGAAAAATTTAGGTTCTAACGCGACATGCTCGTATAATTGTATTTACACCATAAGCGTACTGAATTTAAATGTTCTTATCGTGTTTTATCGCTGCTGTTTTATGTTTATAAAAGTAAGAAATATGGTTTCCAGAATTTCGTGCCGGATAAAGGAGTTCTAGATGTTAACCAATGACGTATGTAAGGTACTTGAAATTCTTTCGTAAATGTTGTTATTGCTAAAATCATTGAGAGAAAATCAAAACTAAGAATTGTGTAATATGAAAAGACCTTCTTATTTAATTCTTTGAAGAGGCTTTACTTAATCATGGGCAATTTAACTATCGATAGCATCCGCACGAATGAAAACAATTTTTCGTTTTGAGTTAGATATCCTCTGCGGGAGAAGTTCAATTCGTTTCTAATAGCGTATAAAAATTTAATTTTGGTTTATGATTAATTAAATGTTTTGAAGTGTAGCCCCTTTAATACCTCAGCGGTGGAATCAAAGTTCTTTATTTAACTTCGCCAACTAACTTGACGTTAAAACCTTAATCGCATTGTCGGAATATTTTCTGAGAAGTAAGAACATGGAAGGTATAGACGGATAAGATTTTTCTGGCAGTTTCGCTGAATTTTAACGATATTAGCCAACGCGATACCAGTTTGTTATGAATGAAGCTAAGTTGAATAAACGGTCATGATAACATAAGTCCAAACGAGCGATTTTACTCCACGCAGCGCAGACAAATTTCTGCTCTGTTGGACTCAGTCAGCTTGAATATTGTAGCCCATTCATGATGATTACATTCGTGCTTAATTAACTTTTAACTACCATTATTTTATATACGACTGTAAAATGTCATGTAGATAAGTCTAAATGCAGTATTTGATTGATGACAAAGTCAAGGGAGAAGCTACGTGAGCCGGAACTGGGAAGAGTAGTCTAGTGGTTTCAGCTCTGAGTAACAAGACCGAAGCAGTGAGTTGCATTTTCGAGACCCGCAACTAGCTGTAAATGTTTTTCGATGTTAAGAATCGGCGACATGTCTAACGGCCTAATGCACGCTAACCTAATCCTATTTCTTTATTGCCGACATGTCTATTCTATTCTGTGTTGAAGGTCAATAAACCCGCTCATGGAGCCTCATAATTAGAAAATACTGTAGTTTCATTTGAGAGTGGGACACGGAATCTACTTGAAGAAAGCTCGTGACTGTTAATCAGTGGCTGGAAGGAGAGGTGCATGCCTGCATGGCGACACCATTTGTCGTAACATGCTGGGGTTAGCGCGCGTACTAGAGCGTCACGGCACGAGCTTGCTTGTGCGCAACGGGCGTCACTTGCATGTTTCGTCTTCAGTAGGACTTCAACCCCCGCAGAAGTAACGTGATTTCGGTGTTGTGTTAGTGTCCGCGTGTCGGTGTTATCGTATAGTTGGAAGCAAAAGATTTCATAGTTTTCGCCACTTTTTGAAAATATGGAAAACTGTGTCCACGCTAGTCCACTACTAAATTATTGCATTTACCACATTATTAAGCAGATTTTTAATTTAATCTTGAGACAGTTCACGAAATAAAAAAAATGAATGGCATGTGAATCGTCTCTTGGTGTCCTCAGTGGTGTTCGTGACCTGTCTATATAAAATTCGTCATTTGCAACTGTTGGGTGCAGTTGTGATAGTAAGCACAGCAGACGATAGTCGACGTATTGCCCTTTATACTCGCGTTACGTGAGTCAAGAGTCTAATTGGATATTTGTATTCATAAAGTTATTAAAAAATTCATGACGTCGCATTTACAACAAATATCGCGTGAAATTTCTCACCTAAGCATGGATGACAATTATGAAAGACTAATTTCGAGCAAACAAATTAGAAGGTGAACGGAGTACGGATTCTAACTATAGATCAATTGGTGGCGTTTACATAGAAAAAATCGTCAATTTTTATCTTGAGATAAATAAATTCATCACTATATTATGCATCGTTCTTAACAAAGTTGACGGTAATAGTTTTAAACGAGTATTTTTTAAATCACTCCTTCCTCATATTTTGAAACCTGTTTTAATTTCCTATAACTTCCAACGCCTAACATCGTGACAGGTTTCAGCGATTGGGTTGTTATTGCTATTTTCTTTCTTGCTTAGCCGATGCAAATGCTACTCTTACTTTTAACGGTGTTTCACCACTAATTAAAAAGAAAACAAAGTTAAGCCACTTCCTGAGCACCAAGTGTAGTGAAAAATGTGGGAAATACGTAAAAAATGGACGTTGTACATCTTGGACAATTTTTAATCGTGTTGCTTCAATTTTGCGGTGGAGCAAAAACCATTTTCAAACCGCATTAGAGCCGCTCTCGTACTCCAGTGCCGTATACACCTTTAAAAGACTTATCATATTAACTGAAAATACATTTTTCCCAACACATCGCAGTCCGTTATACGGCAAAATGTTGCGGTGATGAATTATTCAAAGAATGCGCACATTGGTAAAACTTCGCGAGTTAGGTGTCTTTTAAGACAAGGCTATTTAGGTTTAAAAATCGAGCTCATGAAGCAGATGTTCGCTGTTTTTTTGTCTGTGTTCAGTCATGCATTTACGAATACATTAGTGTCCATTTCCGAGCAGAGTTGCAGGACGCCATTGAGTTCCGTAAAACTATCGTTGCGCTGGTTGAGCCTCACATGCTCCAGTGCAAAGTGGCGAGTGAAACAGCTGAGTCATCAATGCTATGAGGGTGGTCACGTTCACAGGTTCGCGCGCAATGATTGAGGTAACATTTGTTCCGTTACACGCGGGAATACGACCGATATTTGGGACTCTGACAACATTTAGGTGGGCGATAATTGTTGCATTATGTAATTCATGCCGATGCCAGAAGATACAATTATCATAACTATCAGAAACGTCTTCAGGCGTTCATACTTTTCGGGTGGTTGACTTTCTACGGAGTAAAAAATGCTGGACATTAGTGGCACATCAATAGGCCAAAACACGAAGGAAATCAGTGAAAATCGTGGACGAACAACGCTGTATTTTTACTGAAAATTGGATTGTTAATTTAATAATTTCCTTGTTGAACAGTGATGTCTTGGTTGCACGAAGACCTGACATAAATTAACGGAAAATTAGAATTTTTACAATACCTAATCTACGATAAGACTATATTTAGCGCATTTTCTCATTAATGAAAAAAATGCACTATTGTCCGTCCGTCTGTCTGTCCGTCCGTGACTTCACGTTTTCGTCAACGAGAAAATGTGCTCTCTGTCACTCACTGCAGTGGGAACTGAGTTATATTTTTTGATTAGTGTAATTTACCAAATGTGAGGCCATATGCTGTGTAGAGTCTGTACACCGAGCCGCTGTTTGCGTGTATTATCTCCAAACGCAAATATGATTCCTGTAAAACTCAAGCATGTAAAAGTTATACTATCAACTATTACTCATCGTAGAGTTGAAAGCAAAAGATTTTTTAGTTTTTGCCACTTATGTGGCAAAAAAAAATGTGGAAAGCTGTGTTGTGTGTCAATAGTTCTAATTTTGTGTGTGATTCTAAATGATAATTTTTTACTAGACAGGTTCAGGGGTGCATACTTCATACTAAAAACTGTTCGTTCGGAATGCAAAGTTTAGTTTTTTTCGTGTACATTACTGACAGTTGCACCAACTGAATAATCACAAAATAGTCGAAAGAATTTTTGAGAAAATTGCAATTTTTTTGTTCAAGTCTCTCAGTCACGATGTCTCAATTTTCCGGTGGTGATTTCTGCAATTACATTAACGACTGCAACCCACTTCCCAGGCCCATAGACGCTTAAACCAGCAGGCTCCTGTAACGTTGTGCAGCGTTTTCGCTCAATTTACGTGCTAAAAATATTAGAAGAAGCAAATAAAAATGCATAGTTATTTTACTTCTTGTGAATATTATTTTCTTTGAATTTTTCTGCGCGAATTTTAGCCAAATTCCATGTGCTGCGTTGCATCAGTTTTTATGAAAAGATTCGTTTCGTGAACTGACAACGATGTGTAATCTGTAAAATCTGTATACTAATACGCAAGTAAAATATACTTTATATCGATAAAAATATCCAACAGGAGCCATAAATTAATAGTTAATGACTCAGAATCGCACTAAAAATGGTCAATATGCAAGAGTAAACATAAGTGAACGATGCGTAACAAAATTATTTTATACATAATCGATGGTCATTATTATTAGCCTTGCAGAACTGATTAAACTAATATTTTGAGCTCATTACAATACCTCGATTGTAAATACATAAGAGCAACTGCAGAAAGGGGACGTCCATTCAACATTTTCAAGACAAAATTACAATCGGAAACTTCTACGTCTGATAGGAAATTATTGCGAGAAATTATTTCACCGATTCTTAACTAACTTTCTCTCATGAAAAAAGTACGTAACGAAATGAAGAAATTTATTCCACCAGAAAGGGGATCAAAGCTTCTGCGGATTGTTGTATGAATTTTGCTAGTCACCGAGACAAGTGGCGATGGTGATTTTCTTTCAATTAACAGTTATCGTATAATCACTGTAGCAAAAAATGCTTAGATTCTGTGAAGAAGAATTTTATATCTATTTAATGGTAATTCTTTTACAATTTTAATACAATTTTTACAGTTCTTGTCTTTCTGGAAGGCGCTGACCGAAACAGCGTATAACGGTAAACTAAATTATTTTCTGTCTTTAGTTCCGTGCCTTTATTTATTGGCTGGAGAAGTTGTAACCTACTTGATTTTCCTATTGTTAGGGAACTGTTACAACAAGATTAGTAAGCATCATAATGAAATAGTTGTAGAATCAATTAACAGTGAAAATAGCGATTGGATTCTGAATTCCCTGTATAGTCGAGCATGACCATAATTCTCATGTCAGCGCAACGTAGCTGCGGAGAAATGACCAAGCGCGCACCGGATGTTCAGCGGTGCGTGCGGATAGTCAACTTTCCGGTACATTGCGCAGAACCGCATGTGTGATCTGCCTACCGAGCTCCGTATTCTGTTACCACATAACATCCCTAGGAAGCTTCCCGCGCTAAAACAAACTGGGGACCGCTATATGTAAGATCAAAATTAGATCAGAATTCACAGAGATGATGTTTGCGTTTATTAATGAGAAAAGAGAGCAAATGCAACTATACAAGAATAAGAATAAATGCTATCATAATAATCATAGTAATCATAGAAACTCCATCATAATAATCATAGTACTCACAGAAATTCCATCATAATAATCATTGTAATCACAGAAATTCCATCATAATAATTATAGTAATCATAGAAATTCAATCATAATAGTCATAGTATATTATATACAAAAATAGCTACAATCATAAAATAATACCGTTAGAAAATAGCTACAAGCTAGGGATGGGTCGAGGCTCGACATGATATTTTTCATGTGCATGATCGATGCAATGTTTCATTTGTGTTTATGAATGAGCGCATCAATTTATAATGATCACACATAGAAATAACAGTACAAATGTTAGAGATGAGTATGAAGGTGTCGTGTATGTAAACCTCGTATGGGAGATTAGCAATAATGTTTAAAAAGACGAATTATTAATAAACTAAACTATTAATTAGTTTAAATTCGTTTTTATTTGGTGGTGTTATTGCAGATCAATATACACTAATGAATAATGGTAGTAGGACGGAAACTAGGCAGCTTCAGAATGTAAGTCGAAGTGTCCAAGACGTCGCTTGTCATCTATTATGAAGGAAATTCGCACGATGCTAACCTTCGATTGAATACATTTTTCAATCTGGCTAAAAAAATTAATTTCGAAACAGTAAATTGTGAAAATAGATTCGAAAAATAGCAGAAATTTACAACGCACACTGATAATCACGGGAACATTTTTAAACGCGACGCCACAGATTTTCCACTCGTCTGATTCGTGTGGATATATCAGGTCGTAAAAATGTGCCTGGTCGTCTACAGACCGCAACTATCTATACTACCGCTAACGCAGCGTCGGTACAGGCGTAATTACGCTGAAGCGCCGCCCCTACGGCGGCCTTACGGCGGCCATACGAGCTTTGGCGCGCTCTACGTGACTTGTGTTATGGAACGTGACTTTGTTGACGTGACTTTGTTATGGAACGCTTGGTGGCCGTGGTGTTATGGAACGCTTGGTGGCCGTGGTGTTATGGAACGCTTGGTGGCCGTGGTGTTATGGAACGTTTGGTGGCCGTGGTGTTATGGAACGCTTGGTGGCCGTGGTGTTGTGGAACGCTTGGCATCGGCGTTATTATGAGACAGTTGACACTTGTGGCGTTATGAGACGGTTTACTTCTGTTGCATTAACGTGCGTCACTAACGAAAGAATTAAGATTCATAGATGGATGTCCTGAATTCGAACTCGTAACTTGTTCATGTTCAATGAATCTCGTATTTGTGAATAACTTGGTATCACTCTTTTGCGTACAAACTGCCGCATCTTAAATCATATATTTTCAATTTATTTCTAAAATAACTTTTCTTGCTGTAATTGTTCATATTTTGCTCAACAGCTTTCAGAATTGCAACATAATAAACCTTTGAATTGAAATAAAAAAATTCTGAAGATACAGGTTAGTTTAATATAAATAAAATGCGGATGTGGACATCCGTGGGCCGAATCTTCTTCTTCCAGATCACCGTTGTTGTGGTGAGTATTTTATCAGTAAATTTTTGCGATATCTGGCAAGCTTATTCTTTCCGTCATTGGAATATTGTTTTTTTTTTGGCAGGCTACCTCATTTCGTCATTGGCGTATTGGCTTTTTGACATTAGCGTATGGAATGAATAAGGATAAATAATGCGTTCAGATGTAACCAAATGTTCTTAAGCTATTTGGTCGTAGAGTATAAGTAGTTTATCAAAGCTATTCTAAATTGCTTCTGATTTGCGGATACAGAGATATAAATGGAACTAAGTCTACGGATCAACATTGTCTGGTTTAAAATTTTTAAAGAACCGATTACGGGAATGTAATGTATTTATTTATTAATATTTAATATATATAATTATAATCAAATTCAAATAATTCAATTTAGCATTCCAAGGAATTATCTTGTCTTGCATGAGCACCTTCTTGTCATGTACTGACATGAATTCGGATATGAATAATTCATACGCTTAGTTAGTGTATTCTATATAATACTAATAGGCTTTATTCTCAACAGATGGCCGACATCGGCATGGGAGTGAAGGAAGGACGAGCTACGCCTTCGTTCTACAAGTTTATACGTAAGACCCATGTCGGTTTACGAGTTAAATAATGCATTGTTATGTTGTGTTAAATAAATGAAGTTAGCAAGCAGCTTAAATTAAACTTATAAACGGGAGGCTGATATGCACATTCGCTCATTAATTGGAATTTGAAATAATCGGAATTAGATTGAAGTTCTCGACCAAATTCAAAAATCATTTGAAGACTAGAACTATTCTTATGTGAATATGCCGATTGCACTTGTATAGAATATACAATCACACGTTATAGTTTATATGAACTATACTTGAACGATGAAATATATTTAAGTGGAATCTGCTTCCGTACTCATCAATTAGTATCCATTAGCAATTAAACAATTATTAGAAAATTTGTACATATAATTATCAAATATTCAGGGTGCGTACTGATATTTCGAAAAAAACTCCATGACTTTTCTATGACTCTCCATGACCATCAATATAATTTTCCAAGACTCGTACACGACAGGTTCCAGACTCGTATGCGACTCGTAATTTTCCAGACTCGTATGCGACTCGTAATTTTCCAGACTCGTATGCGACTCGTAATTTACCCTCGCCGCGCAGTCTTGTGGCGTCAAAGTCCTCGAGTCTAAGGTGAATATTATATCGTATAGTTAATCGAGTCTTATAGTTAGTTAGTCTTAGTCTAATAGTTATAATAGTTATAAGTTATAATAGTTATATCGAGTCTGGATAAGTAACCCTAAGGGTTACTTATAACTTAACATAACACAGTGATGTCGGCGCTGAGGCGTAGGCCTGATGTGGCCTGTAGCCGATTTTTACTTTCCGTGCCTTGTTCACAGAAGATCTAAAATCGTGTCATTTGACCGGATCTTTTCATGACTGACGATAGTTTAAAATAGCTACTAGACTTCGATGATTACATCGTCTAGTTAGGATTACTTAGCCAGATGGGTTTTTAAGTTATCTTGAATGTCTAGTGAGGTTTTCGAGTCAAAGGTGAAGATCATCCGACCAATTAAAATTATTCATATTGACAATTTACAAATATTTTTTAAGGATCTACTGAGATTGAGTTTTCCGATTCTAGGGTGAATATTAAATCAAATCACTATAATTATTAATCTTAAAAAAGTGTTAGAATGTTCAATGTGTCTAATGAGTTTGCGGTGTTGGAGTCAAAGGTGAATATTAGGCACACCGGATAATTAGTGTTCTTTATCTTGAAAAGTTCTTAAATTTTGTAAAATGTCTAGTGAAGTTGAGCTGTTGGAGTACAAAGTATCCATTTAAACTTTAAAATACAGTTATAACTTTATAAAAATATATAATTTTAGTTTGAACGTTGGAGATTAAATGTGAATTTAAGCGTAACCACATTTTTAAGTAAATGTGAATTTAAGCGTAACCGGCAATCTTACTTACATATTATCGCATTTAGATACACATTGCCTATGCACAAGCGAACTTTACTTTGCAATTTTAAAGTAATTCTAATTTGCGGTAAGGTGATGTCCCTACAATCGATCGGAAGGTGATGTCCTACAATCAAATTTTTATTTGTAATTGCAGGAGGATAACAGCACAGTTTATGAGGTGCAGTTATACATTCAGTTCGACCGATGGGTGCAGCAGGTGATTGATGAGCAGGTGCCCATCAGGTGTAAGCTGCCTCACACTGAAGGCCACCTACACCCTCAGGTAATTTCTATGGTGTAGGCTAACTGTTGTTGTATTTCATTTATCTTGGATGCATAAAAAGCTGTCTCATAAACCTCTTCATTTTTTCTTTAAAAATTGAATTGAAAATTTAGTCCACTCCGCTCCTTTGAAATTAGTATATTTTTAAGGCAGTCCGTAGTTATTTTTGACTCAAGAATAGAACATCGAAATAACTCTGGCTTAAATGAAGAAAATGATATTTCTACAACCGTAGAGTTGTTAATTCATCAGTTGGCTTAGATTAAAATCGAAAATTATGTTTCAGGACTGGAAGACTGGCATCTCAAAATATGAAACAAAGGACGGATTAAAGCTCTTGAAAAAGAGCATAAAGCTTGACGCCTATGAAGCTGTTTCCAAGCCAACAACGATTCCACCCAAGTTCATTTTTAAAGACTACGATAACAGCGTCATCATCCAAACAAATAACGACGAAGACATGCATAAAGTATCCCGTAATAATTCCAAGGGAGAAGACTTTGATTTCGATAAGTTGTCTGAAATAACGAAGGATGTAAGCCACAGAGAAAAGCTCGTCCAAAGTCAGAGCAGCCGACAGTCCCCGAACGCGGTAGTGTCTGAGATCAAAATAAGTAACTCCCCAAACAGCGAAGAAACTCAGGCTATGGTGGCTTCCACCCTATTGACTGTTTCCTCCAGAGTCAGGGATCGACTCATGAAGGGAAAAAATAGCTTTGATGATGCGGCAGCGCAACCAACCGGCAACTCACAAAATAACATGGTTGCCCCACGCGACGACGTGGCCCAAGTTAAAAATTTATCGTTCGTTGACGAGGGCAGAAACAGTAAAAATGATGAGATTAAAGAACGTCAAAAACTGTTTAAAAACGAGGCGTCGTCCACAGATGAAACTCAACGCATTCTGAAACACATTCTGTCACAAACAAATAGTGGAAAGAAATCTGGAAAAATTTTGAGCAAGAGTTCGGAAAAGAGTGATGGGAACGAAGTTGAAATGATTGACGAAAACGAAGACTCACCGAACGGGATAGAAAACTGGAAATCTCTGACCGATTATCTTGACTTGGACTTATGGCGTGAGTGTTGACAGTGTTGTAGTTGTAGCGTCGATTAGGCCAATTCTGACCTGTCATCGACTGTAAAAATCACAGAATTCTCACACCTTGCTGGGGCTTTGTACCCGCAACTTACTGTTCCAATATTCTCCAAACCACACGGCTACCTCGCAGGTTTTATGCAGAGCGTTACACTAAAATGGGACTAAACCCGCGACTCATAGCCACAATCTTGTTTACACTGTACTTTAACCACTCTGTAACTCTGTTATTATAGTTTGAAAATATGAATTTAGTCACCTTCTTAGAATGTGAATGTCTGCCAGCCGTTTTGATGGGAGGTCTGTGCTCTAGATGCTTACAGCATAGCGTATACATCTTCGGCATTGAAGAAATAGGCCTATTTAGGCCTGTTGACGATTCTTGTACTTTTCGTATCTTGTTCACTGATGTAAAGACTGGCCTTTTGACCAGATATTTTCAACCGACATTGGTTTACTTCATCACTGAACTTTTACTAGTTCCGTGGGGTGCTAGGCATTTCAAGACTGAAGATATACTTTTGCATAGCATTGTCCTGTTTATTGTTGAAGGCATTCTTGAACGTACTCGGAGCGTTGTGAATTCAACCAAGTTTAGAACTTATGCAAATCATTTAGAGCTAAAATTTGCATGAATGAACTTGACAGTAAATTAGGCCGTGTGTGCATCCTAAAAATTTGTTTATTTTGTTGAAGTGTTATTTTTTACCTCTCATTTTTTTACCAGCCGTGCACTCCGATGAAGGATGAATGTGAATATTGTTTACATTATACAAACAAAACATATATGAACGTATGAATGTTTTTGTAATAGTTTTTAGGATATAAAGCTGCCTGTTCTGATTAACACTGCAATGTTCTGCACAGTTTTAATATATAAACTTGATAATTAACGAAGCAAATGATGTTCATTGCAGATGCTGTTTCAGGACTGGAGCAGGAGCCAGTGTCGGTGTGGCTTGAGATCCTTCGTGGTGAAGGAACTGAGGGTAGATTCTATGGGCGAGGGTATAAATTATTCAACTTTTACTTATGATATTTATTTTCTTTTCTCGGTGAAAAAACACTCACATTTCTTGAAGGATAGCAATAAGCCTGATATTGATGCAGAGGCTTATGAAGAAGTGTCTCCGCGGTCTGCCGCTCAGCGGAGACCACGAATTTTCCTCGTTTTTGGAAGAGTTTTGGTTTGGCAAACTTACTTATACTTTTTTATGTCAAGAAACCAAAAAACATTAGATTAAGCTCATGGATTCCTAGTAGCATTAGAAAAAATATGATAAAATGCAGTGAATTAATCTCTTTTACCCACTCAAAAGATAATAAATTCAGTCAACAAATTCCTATCTTCATTCGATCAAAAAATATTAAAGCAGTCAATAAATTTCTTGTATTTTATTCCCAAGTAATAAATGCAGTCAACAAATTTCCTTTATTCATTCCCAAGTAATAAATGCAGTCACCAAATATCTTAATTTATTCCACAAAAGAAAAAGAAATGCATTCAGGACCTGGGGCCATACTTTCAAAAAAAGTTAAGAGATCGTAAGTTCATCAGCCAATCATTGACGGGCTTTCAAGCAAAATCCACCAATCATAGACAAGAAAATAGAGCTTAAGTACTAACGTTAACTTACGAGTTTTGAAAGTATGGCCCCCGAACAAGTGACGTGACCGCAGGCAGCGCTGCGGTGACAGGGCTGCAGGTGGGGGACGACGCGACGTTGGTGGTGGGGACCCGCACGTCCCCGGGGCTGACGAGCCTCGTGACGGAGTGCCGTGCACACGACGGTGCTGGGGGAGCACGGCAGGACCTCACTGACTCCAGGGGCTGTGCCGTCGACCCCGCCATCATGCCTCGTCTCAGGTGATGAATATTTATGATGACTATTGCACGGGAAGGACGTCTTATAATTTTGCCATATGATTTGTTATGCTTGTAGTACGTGATTAAACTGATTGTTATAGATTTTTATGAAACCTTTACTAATTATAAATATTCCCAACTCGTCTGATGTTAAATTGAATGAGCATTCATTTAACTGACTCGCTGCTTCTCCATAGATAATTCACTCTACTAAGGTTTAATTCATTCTTGGCTTCCCCACGGTAATAATACAGCACCTCACGTGTACCGTGCTCGTGTGTCTCGGCACGTGCCCCACGGTAATAATACAGCACCTCACGTGTACCGTGCACACCAGTCCACGTGTCTCACGGTTAAACATGATTATTCGTCATGACATGAATGTTTTTACTGTCAACATGTATCAGGAGGTTAAGATTATTAATAAATTGTTTATATTAACCTAGATTAAAATCGCAGCTTGCGTGATGAGAAAGAATTAGCTTAAGTATCGACAAAGCAACATTTGAGACGCAATTAAAAGTTCATAATGACTTTATTAAAAAAACGAAATATATTTCCAAAGTCCTACGTATAACTCCGTACTGCGCCTGTGCTACCCAATCAGAAAATGCTGCAAAGATTATTGAAATCGAACAATGTTACTATGCATGTTTCTTTTTGTAAAGCATTTCAAATTTTTATGGATATATAAACGTTTATATTTAACTACTTATTATACAATGAGGATGTGTTTTTGGCCTCTCGCTTCTTTTATAAATACATATATTGAATTTTTAATTTTTTCCTAGTAGTGACAAGTCACTGACAATAGCGTTAATCAAACTGGTTCCAAACTGCCCATTTTGAGCCTTGAATTCTAAAAAAATACATCTGAAAACACAGGTAAACTTCTGTCAGAAAAATTCATAAAAAATTTTTGAATGAATTTCAGTCCAACTGCGACATGTTGGTGGGGAGAGAGAAGACTCCCCTCAAGAAGCGCCTGGGGAGACGAGGACGAAAGATGGGGGAGGTCGTCGGTGTTGGGGAGTATGAACCCACAGACGTCCTCGTTAGGGAGGCCTTCGGGGTGAAGCAACCCCGGGTGAGTGGTTCTGCCTAGTACCCCACTAGGTGGGAAGCATAATAACTAGCAGCCATGGTACCCCACTAGGTGGGAAGTTAATAACTAACAACTATAATATCCATCTAGGGGGGAAGCTAATAACTAGCAGCCCTAGTACCCCACTAAGTGGGAAGCTAATAACTAGCAGCTCTAGTACCCCACTAGGTGGGAAGCTAATAACTAGCAGCCCTAGTACCCCACTAGGTGGGAAGCTAATAACTAGCAGCCATGGTACCCCGCTAGGTGAGAAGCTAATAACTAGCAGCCCTAGTACCCACTAGGTGGGATGCCAATAACTAGCAGCCCTAGTACCTCACTAGGTGGGAAGCTAAGTATCAATGATGTAAATTCTGATTAATACCGCCACTATGTACGTTATAGTAATCGCTTTGTAGAACAATATATTAACTTAATATATTCTTATAAGCACTTCATAGATTATGCTTATAGCTCTATAGTTCATCATGATAGATTTTTAGTTTATTATCATCATTGAAAAAAATATTATCATAAATCACATGAATATTATAATCGGTTCATAGATTTCTGTAATGGCCACATCAGTTATAATCATTGCTAGTTTTCTACGTGCAGCGAACTCCATGTATTTCAAAATTTCGCTGTAATCACTTTTTTTGGCATAATTTTTCCTATGTATTTGCTTCATTTTTAATAGGGTGGTCTTGCGCTATCCATCGGCCTTCAACTTGACGAATTGGACTCAGAAAATTCCACACACGAAATTACCAACTCAACCTCCAGCGGCGTAGCTGCAGTTAATGATATAAGAATGCATTCAAGTGAAATACTAACATCAAATGCCACAAACCTTACAAACATCACTAACATCAGTCAATCACAAACATCAATCGGAGAAGTTCTACCGATTGATGCTAAGACAAAACTTGAACCAAAAACCCGAAAGGACGGAAGGAAGATCCAGAAGTCGTTCGGNTTCTACCGACTGATGCTAAGACAAAACTTGAACCAAAAACCCGAAAGGACGGGAGGAAGATCCAGAAGTCGTTTGGCATGATCGTGGACAGGATCGAAGTATTCAACTCAGTTGAAGTGACGGGTCCTGGAATAGAAAATGAGCCCAAGAAACTCGTGAAGCAATACAGGCTGCAAGCGGACGAGACCGTCGGCAAGGACGAACTGCTCGGGTGAGTTTCGAAGGGGGAAAAATGTACGTTTTGATGTTCGCACGAAATCAATTTATTTACTCATAAAATTTCAATGAATGCATCCTTAGGTGTAAATTAAGAATTGAACTTTAATTTTAAATTTAACGAACTCTCATTCTAATCACGGACATGACATGCTAACATTTGCTTCGTTTATGGTAACGGTAATCATACGGGATTATAATATTAATCGTTTCTTTGGACCGGTCTTCAAGTATTTAATATTACTTTATTACATTATAATATGATTCACTAATCACGTGGATTATCTACCCAGATTTGGACAAGCAAGGGTCCTATTATTTCTTAGTGTAACATTTGAACGACTCCACTGTTCACTCACAGCGGAGACATGTTCTGCATCGCATCTCAGAAGCTGGTGGCAGCGTTCGGCATCCTGCTTGCAGTGTTGGTGGGGGCCTTGCTGTTCGCCCTCTACACATGTGTCAGGCGCAAGCTCCTCCACATCAACAGGTCGGCAATAATGTGTAAAAAGCAAAAAAAAGTAATCCTGATCGACAAATCCATAATGATCGCAAGGTATGGAAAGCAAAAAAGTAATCCTGACCGTTAAATCAATAATAATCGCAAGGTATAGGAAAGTTGTTAGCACTGTGACGATAGTTTGTTCTAAAATAGTCGTAAGCTCTAGAATGATCAGTAGGTATAGAGCTAGAGCTTATGAGGTAATGTAGAGCTTATAGCCGGCGAAATGGTCATAAGCTCTAGCATGACTGCTAGGCCAATTGTCGTAAGCTCTGTGATGATCGCAAAGTTCACATGGTTGTAAGCTCTATGATTATCACAAGTTCTATCATGGTCGTAAGCCCTGTGATGGTCACGGTATACAGTATATACGATGGTCGTAAGATCTAGGATGATCGCAGGGTAGTTGGTCGCAAATTCAGTGATGATCGCTATGCCTACGATGGTCGTAAGCTCTAGTATGATTGCAAAAGTCACCATAAATATCACCTCTACAATGCGATCGAACGTTAACACCAAGATAGAAATCGCCTGGATTTCATGTGTGCGTGGAGGTTGTGGAGGTTACTTGTTCAATTTAAAATATGAGAGGTGAAAGTCTGACGTTTGAATAGTGAAAGTCTGATGTTTTGACTCGAAATTTTTGAATATTTATTTTAAACTTGTCCCAGGCACTTAAAAGTGTTCCTATTATAGTTCTTATTTAGCAGAACTAGCTAACATTAAACGTGAATCAGCTGTTCTCGTCAAGCTGTGCGATATTTTTGACTTTGACACGGTTTGGACTTCTGTAGAATTAACAGATTTATTGACACACTAAAATACTGAAATGAGAAAATATTGTTCCCTATAAATTGAGCAGAAGTAAAAATCTGTTTTTTTTTCAATTATAAATATATGTTACTATCAATATAAAAATCACTGCCGATTAATAATTAAAAAAAAATATTTTCAGACCCAAGACTCCCCTAGGGCTGGCACGAGGGTACGAGCGTTCCATAACCCAGTCCCCGACAGTGGGGTTCAGCCCTCAGTTCCCCAAGGGTCATTTCCAGCAATCCCCGGCCGCTATCATCGCTACAAGGAATTACTATCGCTGCCACCGCTAGGCTTTTGATGGGTAAATAATACAAGTTTTTTATAGTAAGACAATTTATAAAATTTACAGAAATTAATTTAATTCATTTTATCCGTACTTCAAAATTAAAGCTAATGAATCAATTATCAAATGAGCTAAAAAATTCATTACAAGGAAAACCATTTTACCTCTTGGAAAAATTCTAAATACAATTAAAGAATATGGGCCTGTTTTTTCGTAAAAATTGTAAAACATAAACATTAACCCGAATACCCAAACTTTTCTCTCAAACTTTGAAAATTTCGTTCTAATATTATCCATTTTTTATGTAACACTTTGTCAAATAACTTTCAGTGGATTACATCTAAAAAATACAGTCTTAAACATAAATCCTCAATTCTGCTAGCCATCTGAATGGGCCTTACGGTTAGGTATGCTGCACTAAAATTTGCCATTTTAATTGCAATATCCAGCTGTTTGTTTTGCATTGGTCAGTTTTTGTGTATTAGTAATATTGCGAATATTTATTTATTGCATTTTCTTCGAAGATGGTTCAGCTTGGTAAGGATATTGGATTTTTTTCGATCCTTAGTTGTTGAGATGTAAACCCGAGAAAAACATTTTCGAGATTTAATTCTCATAAGTCTTACAGGATATTTCTGAAATGACCCTGGCCAAGTCGATAACATTTTCCAATATCTATTTGGTTAATAATTTGGCATGAATGTTTTATTATTGCGCATCTAAATAATTTTTCGTACTGCAAAAGTATCTAGATTTTCTCATGAATATCGTTTTTATATTTGTTTGTAGTAAAATTTGTGTTGTGAGCTGCGAAGAATTTATAAGTATATGTTTTTACTAAATCTAATACTGATCGTTATCTGAGCCTAGTTCTGTCGGCAAAAGCTTGGGAGAAGGCTTGTTGTTGTCGTTTTTCTTGCTCACGTTTCTTATCAATGAGCTATTGATGTCCGTGATAAAAAAAGCTCAAGTGGATGCATTTTCATGCCTGAGTCTGGAAAACTTAGCGTCTCAGCGCTGAAACTTGAACTGTAACTCGAACTGCTGAGAGTTCTTACTATCTAGCAACTGTCGATAACGCCCGGCCATGCTAAGCAGAGAATTTTTACCCTTCAAACCCATTTACAAAACAATATTTCTGTCAAAATTCCGAGGCTAAGATTTTAATAAATTTACTAAATGATTTTTTTAAAGACGGCAAGGCTCACATTTTTCGAATATGCTAAAGATTTCTCTATTAATGGTACCTATGCCAAGATTTTACTGAATTAAGTAAGTGATTGTTTTCTGTATTAAAATGTCCGCAAGCTAGAGATTTCAATAAAATTTCTACGATTATGCTAGCAATTTTTTGAAGTCCAGATTTGATAAATATTGATGATAATAAAAAGTAAGAAAATCATAACCGACAAGTTTTAAAAATTCTAATTCTTATGGCTTAGAAGTTCCTGATGGTAAAATCGATTATCACTTATTTGGGCGCAGAAGTATTTGAAATTGAAAATTTTGCATTTATTTTGCAAAAAAAATATTATTAACAAAATCAACATGAAAATAAGGCTCTTCTTTCATTTGTTCCGAAAATCGTTCTATATATAATTATGTAATCGAGATGATCGCTTAAAACATTTTCGCTTTTAATCTTTCCAAAGTCTCACGACAAAAAAGAACACGTTTATTTTGAATATATGAGTAGTGGCTTAAGTGTCAAGAATTTACATAACTAAGAAAGCACGGTTCTGGTCTTTTGATTTGTACAAACTGCTTCTGCATCACATTTGGAGCTTGAGCAAGACTAATCTATTTACGTAGGGGCTGTGAAAAAATTTGCATAGCTACTTTGTTAAGTTTTTGGATAACGCTATGATATTATAGTTTACTAAGAAATTTGTTAAGTTTGTTCGTTAACTTGAAGTTAGGAAGTAACAGGTTGTATTAATTTCGTTGAATATAATTTATAATATACAAGATTTTTATTTTCATTTATGTAATTTTAAACAAATTTATTTAGCACATGTAACCGATTTGCTAACCCTTATTTGTGATCGGGATGCAGCCTGATCTTCTATAAATTTTCGAACTGAAAGGAAAAAGCCAATTGGATGAAAAATTTAGCCAATTTTGAAAAAAAGCCAAGATGCACGAATTGTGTCGGATGGGCATCTGAACCGCTGATTGAAATCTAATTATTGATAAGGCGTTGTTTTAATTTATTTTGACCACTGTAGCCGCAGCTCATTAGTTTGCATATTATGTACTTTGAAATTCTCATATAGCCATGTGGCAACACTTGCTAGAATAAGCAAATTGCGGACACTTATCTCCGCCGGCCACTCTTGCTCTGTCCGCGAACAGGATTGTTTTACCTGTTCAGTGTTCCTAGTTCATATTCTTTTCGTGTTTTTCTGGTATATTTTTGAGATTCTCTGATATGTATGTCATAACCTTGCCAAAGTTTGTATTATGTAGCCATTTTTTCGTGTTTTTGCTGATTTATTCAATAATTGCAACTGCATGATCGTTCCTTCACTATTAAATGGAGAAACTTGGTATATAATTTTTGAAACTCCTATTGAGCCTAGAGTCAGGAGGTGTAACTTGTGCTGAACAGTTCTAGGCGTAGCGTCTTTTGAGGAAGGCGTTACAACCACGGAATTGATCATAAAAAATTATTGAAGTCAAGTTATCATGTTCTGTTTCTTGATAACAATTTAAGGCGGATATGCAACAGGTGATGGATGGTATGTCGATTGTGACTTTTAAAATATTGTTCTGTGCTGTACGTTATGGATGGAGGCGCAGTGCTGTCGCGCGGGCCCAAATATTCATAAAGTATGAAAATATTATGCTATTAGATGAATCTGTATTACACTTGTGTGATTGGCTGGTATGATTGGAATCTTTAACTACGATTGGCTGCATATAGACCTATGGTGATGGTCAAATTTCTGAGCTCGCGGCTGTAGGCATCTTGACCTACGTCACTCTTACGTCACTCACGCTACCCCACTGCATTCAGGGTAGGCATTCAATCATACGTAAGACTGATGAAAAGGTGGAAAATTCGGATTTATTTCTATTTACGAATCAAAATTGTTACAAATTATCTGATTATTTGATCTGAATAATTGAAATTTATTATTATTATTGTTAAATATGATCATTGAAAGATATAAAAACGTGAAAATAAGTACGAAATGCCAATAGTTTCATTAAATTTTAAACGAGTAGTTTTAATTTTACGTTACAATTTGATAGTAGCTGCCCGTTCACTTGCTATATTCCTCGTCTAGCCTCCTTCACGCTACACCAAAGTAAAGTTTAAGGAAGGCGCTAAGGTTAATTGGGTAAAATGTGGGAGGGAGGGGGAAGGTTAAGCCATCTCTTTGCGCGGGAACCAGAGTGTGGGTGGATCCAGAATATGCACTTACAGCCTATGCCTGCAGCCACAGGTCATTCTGGTGTGTAACTTGATGTGAAGAAGTGCTCCTAGTTAGCGGGGGTGGGAAAATTAAACTGGCACACCAAACGTCCCTTAGTTATAAGGTAGACACTTACATTCGACTTAGGCACGGCGTAGATTCCGAAATTGGTAGCAGTTTCCAAACAGAACAATGTTACAGTATATTGATATACCCAATCCGCAGCGTCTATCGCATGCGAAAAAATTTATTTCTACTTCGCATGATTTTTTATTTTCGTTGTCTTTTCATTTTGATATTAGTTGGAAATTTACTAAATTTCTTTTGAAGCATAGAACAAAATACGGAAATATTGTTGCTGTTGCTGTTTTAGAAAGGTTTTGGAAACTGAATGTATGTAAACTTGTGTATATATAGGTAAATGCAAGCAATTTATTAACATTTCTATTAGGTAACAGTTGACAATGATGATAGAAACTGTACGAGTTTGAAGATGAATAAATTTTTTTTAAAACTTTCTAAGCTTATTGAATGACTATAATTTTAATTACATTACTTTCTGAATACACTTAAAAAAATTTAAATTCTGACGTTTGCGGACAGTGAAAAAAATGAATTCACTCAATACGGCTGACTTGTGCGGTTTGATGGAAAATCAGAAGCTGACAGCTCGCAAAGGCAACTTATTCCTTCGGAGCAGATTGCTATAAGAGAGTGACTGATAAAATTTTATAAGACTTGACGAATGTTGCAATCGTATTTTGGGATTAGTCTACTAACTAAATCCTGCAAATTCATTGTAATTAGTTCACCATCAAATTTTTGAAATCTTGGTTAAGCTGGAGGGTGATGTTGAATTTGGTTTAGTCTGCCATCCAAGTTATTTCATTAGTTCGAACAAAATTTTTCAACTTGCTGTTGTGGCGTGAATTCTTTAATTAAAAGATTATATTCGTAAATTTCAGATAATGATACCTTGACTTCAGTAAAGATAAAGCTAGTGCATGCGTCGTCGGGTAAGTACATAGGAAGAGGATAGTTTAAAGTGTCGCATATTTGTTGATAAAATTGAACATAAAATACGATAGAAAAATGAGTGGAGAAAAGGACCAGAAGAGTGAACAACAACACGACGCCCGTCGAGACAGCGATCCTGACATCGCAAACCTCTCCATTTCAGAATTTGACTTCGTCAGTTCCTACAATGAAGGTGAGAAGCTTTGTTTCTGTTGGTACGGTGGTAATTAGGAATGTTATTGCAGAAAAAATAATAATGTTGATTGGTTTATAACTTATCAACTCTGATTAAATCACATATTGTTGAAATTGTAATCGTAACTTATCATTTATAATGTCCGCAAAATAGATTTAAAAAATGTAATCATGTTCCTTTGAGAATAATTCTTGAATCGGAGCATATTTTAATTGAACTACTTTGAACGAACGAAACCTTACTTCTCAAAATTTTCTAAAAGTGAATGCTATTCAGGAAGTTGAGCGTTCGAATGAATTATTGTTTCTGCATACCTTACTGCATACTTCAATATAAAATTTGCTTGGCAAATTTTAGGATGCGCCATCTTATGTCATTTCATTTATAACTGGCTTATCTA